TCATCCATCTAGCTATAAGCCTTTATTCAACTCATTAACTATTATTATGTTTTATTCTGTTTTCAAACTATGGTAGATTAATTATTAGCCTATTATTCGGATTCTATGCCTTAAACGCCGTGCTTTGGAAAACATTATATTTTCATAATTGTGGTGCTCTGGAGTCCAGTTATGTATATACATCTAATCACATATGTAGCGGTCTTCTAGTGTCGGTTATTATGTTAAACTTATATACCTCATTCTGGCTTTCGAAAGGTCAGTCTATTCATTCTACTTGAGTCACATTTTGACCTTGTTAATTATTCGCTTATCAACCATGACTGCTTTTATATGAGCGTATATATGCGTATACTTCTAATCCTATCCATCAAATGTCTGTAGCTTATTTTTATGTGACTATAAATATTGATTAACGCTTGGCTCACATGCCTTCGCCATTACGCGTCATTTCACTTCGCTCTCTTCTCTTTGCTTCTCCTATATTTTGTCTGGATCAAAAATTGTATGAAATATGCGTACTGCAACTTCATTCTCGTATTTGACTTATTTAATTCCGTTATCGACTAACACGATTTAAGTCCATGATTATATACGAGGATTGACGATATGTACATCTCAATATCAATCAGAAACGATCTCATTGGAGTCAGATACCGGGTCACTAAAGTCCATAAGTGTTAGAAATACTATCTTCCGGTCTTCTTATCTGATCTTGGAAAGGAAGTTCTACATAATCAATTAGCATCTGAATAGTAAGTTATTTTATCGATCTATCAACAAAAGTATTTTCAAGAACAAATCAACCGTAGCCTAATTCATTCATCACAGTCACAAGGTTATATTAAGTAACTTATTATATTCAAGACATCAAAAAGATGCTATCAAGTCTCTAGCATATCTAAGGAAAAATCTAATGAGTGTATGGATAGGGAAGTATTCTACTAATAACGTCTCAAATATACTGTTTCAACCTAGTCTGCCGTTCCTCAGGAATGTAAACGCATAACACAACCTGCTATTGAACCAAGTGACTTAAATTAACGTAAAGTGCACAATATTTTATGGTTACTATATCAGAAGCCAGTTTTCCACACTTTCAATTGTATATAATTAGTAGTGTATTTTGATGATTATCATATATCGTCACTGATAACTGTATTAGATGATCATAGCTCCTAATTAAAACCTTAGGAATTCATCCAGAAACTGATCATTAACACTGTCATAAATATCAATAAGATAAAAGATTCGTGGAAGTTTTTCGGTTCAAAGATATTTTTCAGGGGAACCCACTAACCAAGATAAGACAGTATTCCATTACTTTGTCGTTTTCAACAGTTTTTTTTTTGTCTAAACCCTATCCATGGTGAAAATTCTGTTATGATTGGACTATGTATACAAATCATACATTTAAATAATATTAAACAGTTAATGAAGAGACATTTAGGTATTTTTGGGAAAGTTTGTTCAGCCAAACTGATAAATGCAACAAATGGTAATGCCAACTACTCAGAAACTATCTAAAAAATAATTGTAAATAAATAGTATGCAGTGATCATGTTTGTAACATTTGAAGTGGAAAATATGGAAAAAAAGGCACAACGCTTCATGAGAGATTGGGGACGTTTCTTTTTCAATACAATAAGAGGTTTTATATCCATTTGTTTCGGAATATTTGAATTGGTGTGAATTCATCTAATGATGGTTTTTTTTTAAGATAAGCTGAGTTTAGTTGAGATCATTTGTAAGATGATTTCTGAAAACAAATTGACCAACTGTCTTATATCGCTGATAAAGAAAGCTTGACCTTGAAAACGTATACTTCATGTTTCAGCTCTTCTCACGTAAGGCTACTTACTAATCTTGTGATTTAGTATCGATTCAAGGAAGATGAAGCGATTTAAGTATGTACATCGTCAATTTCTCTATTTTTAACGGGTCATGTTATTCGATACTGATAAATTAGTATCACAGTTCGAAAATTCGTGTTTGTCAACTATTTGCTGATAATCTCCAAGAGTTTTTCACACTCTGATTTTATATTTTCAAAATCTCTCACTTTCGCATGTTACTATATTACTTTTTTTCTTATTTTAATGCCTTACTAAGATTAATCAAATATTATTTACTAGTTTTCAGTTTTGCTTGGAGTATATCACTTGAATGGAGTTCTCACTTTTTAGCAGAATGGTCCTGTTGATTCGACTGGAACAGAAACTTTTTAAATGTTTATATAAACCACACTAAATTACTTTATTTTAAATATCCATAACGCTTGTTCAACATTTCTTAAGTTTCTTGTTTACGTTTTTACAATCTAATGACAGACGAAATTACGTGGGATGTAAATTTTAGTTTTTATTGGAGATATCTTAGATATTTATCAAGTAAATTCCTCACAAATTTGTCATAGGTTATTATAATTTAAGGAGGACCAGATGAAGGCGTAAAGGCGAAGATAGGCAAAGGAAGGGCTGCAACCCTACAATTGAAGAACATATAGAACTCGAAACAACTGTCTGTCAATCTAAATCAAAGTGAGAATCTTCAATACCAACGTCAAGGCAGTTCTACTGTATGGAGCTGAAACTTGGAGAATTACAACAACCACCATCAAAAAGGTACAGGTATTTATGAATAGCTGCCTACGCAAGATGCTCAACATCCATTGGCCGGATACCATCGGCATTAGCCTTCTGTGGGAGAGAACAAATCAGCTTCCAGCTGAAGAAGAAATTAGGGAAAGATTATGAAAATGGATAGGGCATACATTACGCAAATCATCAAAATGCATCACGAGACAAGCCCTAACTTGCAATCCTGAAGGGAAGTGGAAAAGAGGAAGGCCTAAGAACACATTACGTCGGATAATAGAAGCAGATATGAAAAGGACCAACAGGAACTGGAAGGAGCTGGAAAGGATTGCTTAGGACAGGGTCAGATGGGGAATGCTGATGGGCGGCATATGCTCCTCCACGAGGAGTAACAGGCGTAAGTAAGTATTGTAATTTAAACATATTAAAAAAGATATTCCAATCTCAGTGTTAAAGAACAATAACTTACTCTTAATGGAAAAGAATAGGATTAAGTCAAATCACGATCTTTACGTGTTTATTTAAACTTTTTATCAGTTCAACGACTTTAAGATTTATTGATATTATTTTACTGTAAAAATCAAACTACTTGTTTTTTAAAAGTAGCTTGTTTCGATTAAAAAAAGAGGAATACAGAATTACTCTTCTATTGGAAACTTGGAAATTATTAGATCCCGAAATATAATGAGCATTCCTATTCCAAAGTTTTGGTAAAATGTTAGCGTCTGTCAAAAGGCTGATCACGCTGCAATCAAAGGATACTAAAATTGAGCAGATACTGGATTCATTTTGTGGAAGATAAACCAAATGCTAATCAATGGTTGACCAATGTTATACTGTTTAGTTCACCAAATTTACTTAGCTCCATTATTACATCAATGTTTAGCTAAATTTTGAAATCTTTGTATTATTTTATTTAATACATCATAGAGTTAATGATAAACAGTGGTCTGAGTCATATTAATTTATTTCTATAACCTTTGTTAACCCTTTTTCAAATAGTGAATTGTTTTTGCTAATAGTTTACGTTGAAATCTTGATTGTTTGCTTCTTCTTCTTCTTCTGCAATTAATATTACTTCTCAAGATCATCTTTCGCTTTCTTAGTACAAGTTACTATTTTAAAACGTTGTCTTTTTTAAATGATTTGCCTGACTTTGAAATATGATGATTAATTATTTATGTTAATTGATGATATACTTTTGATAACTGTTGTTCAATTTACTTCACATTAATTTGTAATCTTCCAAAAGACAAAAAACTTGTAACAATAAGGATAAACTGAAGAAGTTCACTATAATTTACTTATAAGAAATTTGTCGATATCAACACTGAATTTTAACAAACCTTGAGTGATCTATTTCTATCCATCATAGATAAGTCTGAATAAAATTCATTTAGATTTAATGCTCACTGAATCCAAAGCTTTGCCATTTGAAACGTAACTTTTAAACTATTAGGTATTAGTTGGACAAGTTTTATTTAGAAATGAAGCTGATGAATAGAATTCAACATTTTAATTAACAAATTTAAGCCATTTATAAATATTTAACGGATTTAATAATAATAAATGTTGAATACTGGAATAGTTGGAATAAAGGGCTCGAATTCACTGTGTACAGTTTTATGACGCATTAGTCACCAAAAGCGGATTATGACGATCAAATATTTCTTCAGGAAACCCTGACAGCTAACAAGATACCTCTTTTCTTGTAGCTGCAATTCAATGGTGATGTAGCTAGTGATGTATTACGTGATAGACTGATTAGAGCAGTAAAGAGAACATTTAATTCTGCCAGCCTCTGTCTATCGTATTCGACCCGATCTATGGCGATTCCCCAACTGAAAGATAAGTTACCTAGTTATGCCACTTCTATGTGTATCTAAGAATTCAGCTGCTCCTGTGGATAAAGCTATATTGGACGCACTACCAGGCAACTGAACCAACGAGTTAGTGAACACCTCCCTTTGTGGTTAGGAAAAGGTAACGTCAAGACAATACGCAGCTCGGTTCTACCACACTTGATCGATAGCGGTCATGTAGTGGACAGAAACAAGTCTGAATTGGGATATTCACAGGGTTTCCTGAAGAACCACTTGCGTGTAACAAGCAAGATTAAATATTTCTTAATGTCGATCATTGTTGTTGGTACATAGATCTTTTTAAAAGATTCATGGACCTTGCCATCTGTTTCATTACTGCAGTATGAGTGAGGCAAGTGATAATATACAGCGAACAAGTCACATCATAGGTGTATCTGTTTTTTCACTTTCGTAGTGAACATCAGTATTCATTCAACACCAATAGCCTTGTAATTCAAAAGATGTTATTATACAAAAATAATAAAATATAATCCAAAATGTCAGGATTCATTTTATGTCCATCAAACGTTTAAGATACATGATGGTACCATATTTAAAATGTCATATGAATATTTGTCGTCATGCTACTACTACTACTACTACTACTACTACTACTACTACTACTACTACTACTACTACTACTACTACTACTACTACTACTACTACTACTACTACTACTACTACTACTACTACTACTACTACTACTACTACTACTACTACTACTACTACTACTACTACTACTACTACTACTACTACTACTACTACTACTACTACTACTACTACTACTACTACTACTACTACTACTACTACTACTACTACTACTACTACTACTACTACTACTACTACTATTACTACTACTACTACTACTACTACTACTACTACTACTACTACTACTACTACTACTACTACTACTACTACTACTACTACTACTACTACTACTACTACTACTACTACTACTACTACTACTACTACTACTACTACTACTACTACTACTACTACTACTACTACTACTACTACTACTACTACTACTACTACTACTACTACTACTACTACTACTACTACTACTACTACTACTACTACTACTACTACTACTACTACTACTACTACTACTACTACTACTACTACTACTACTACTACTACTACTACTACTACTACTACTACTACTACTACTACTACTACTACTACTACTACTACTACTACTACTACTACTACTACTACTACTACTACTACTACTACTACTACTACTACTACTACTACTACTACTACTACTACTACTACTACTACTACTACTACTACTACTACTACTACTACTACTACTACTACTACTACTACTACTACTACTACTACTACTACTACTACTACTACTACTACTACTACTACTACTACTACTACTACTACTACTACTACTACTACTACTACTACTACTACTACTACTACTACTACTACTACTACTACTACTACTACTACTACTACTACTACTACTACTACTACTACTACTACTACTACTACTACTACTACTACTACTACTACTACTACTACTACTACTACTACTACTACTACTACTACTACTACTACTACTACTACTACTACTACTACTACTACTACTACTACTACTACTACTACTACTACTACTACTACTACTACTACTACTACTACTACTACTACTACTACTACTACTACTACTACTACTACTACTACTACTACTACTACTACTACTACTACTACTACTACTACTACTACTACTACTACTACTACTACTACTACTACTACTACTACTACTACTACTACTACTACTACTACTACTACTGGGATGTATGCTAGTTATTTTTGTAGATCTAAGTAATATGTAACACCAGTAGGGAGTGAAATGTCTGCGTACAGAAGGTCTAGAGTAGGAAACTGAAAGCGATCAGGATAACAACAGAAATGAAGGAATAATAGAGCTCGTAAGAGACAACCCAAAGAAGATGTGCAAATGATGTATTTGTTGTGTGATTTTCATGTGTGATTGTGTAATGTGTTAACAACTTATCAGTTTGTATGAATGGAACTGAATATCAGGATGAATCGTGAAGCAAATGTAAACGAAGATATTATTTTTAGTTTTATACTATAATTTATGTAATAGAATTTCCCAACTCATTTAGTCGTGAGATAGTAACTCACTGATGATAATGGTGGATGTGTCACTCAATTTCGTGAATTGATTAAAGTTAGACATCAAACACCGTTGGATGCCGACGGGCTCAATGGTCTAGTGGTTACGGGCTCACGCGCGAGACTAATAGGTCTTGGGTACGAACCTCGCTAGGCGGGGTCGTGGATGCGTACTGCTGAGGAGTCCCACAATAGGACGAAACGACCATCTAGTGCTTCTAGGTTTCCCATGGAAGTCTAGCTTCAATAGACTCATGATTTCAATTACTGAAATAAACTAATGAAACATGAAAATTCTGATAACCTTGTACTTTAGTTTTATTCTATTTTCTAATAAACTTTTATTTTTAAATATCATTTTATAGATTTAGTAAGTAATGTCATTTAAAAGTACATGTTCCTGATTAAAAAGGTTTTAATGTTACACCAGTTATGCAATAGGATTGTTCAAATAGTTTAATTACTGACTAAAATATATAATATACATGAAATTTAATGCAATACTATCTGGTCAAACCTATTCCAGTTTAAACTATTAGTCGCAAAATTGCCACATAAGTAATTTTTCAACCAAGAGTATTCTGAAAAGTAAGTACTATCTTTTCTTATGTACAACCTTTAAGTAGATGTTTGAGGGTCGCTCAAATCAAGTGATTGTTCTAAATCAATTGAAATACTTGTATTAAGGCTCCTAAAATATGTTCTAAAAATAAGTACGATGATGATTCCAGGATACTGTTACATAAAACAACAACGTTTTAAAATCGGTATCGAAAGTAAGAATAAAAATAGATGTCAAACCATCAAATGTAAATTATGATTTCTTAAAAGAAAGAAATAAGGTTTTCAATGTTGTCCCTTGTTGCCAACAGGGAAGTTGGAGTTCAGTTACGGACATATAAACACAAAAGTCAGGTTTTTAGAATAACACTATTATAGTTTCTAATAATTTTAATATAGTCGAATATCTACTGCTTATGTTCTATATACGCTTTGTCATATTACGTAATAGGCTTATTTGTGAACAGTGCAACTTGAAAAATTAAACAAGTAAGTGACTACAATTAAAGTAATGACTATTTAATCATTTTGTTGAAACGTTTGAATTTCAATATTTCATATAGTTACATCAATATAACACAAAGAAAAAAAACCAAACTGTTTAAATAGGATACACCACAGTATTAAATGAAAAATATACGCTTAATTTGTAAGCAAACTTTAGTTAGTTTAATTGTGTTCAATAAAACTCAGATCAAAGTACTATAATTATGTTGTATGAGACTAAATTATAACATGACTTTATTACTACTTTTTGTTTATCAGTAGTAAAACGTATAAAACAAAATGTATGAATGAATATTCCACGAGAAACGGAGCTGATCAAAAAGATGAAATATCATATTTATTATGTATATTATTTTGTATATATGTTTCAATTAATTACTTTTTATCTGTGTTATCCGAATCAATGGCCGTATATTTAAGATAAAAGTATATTGTATATGTTTATATTCAGTCATAGGTAAATCAATTAGTTGGTAACGCAATTGCAGGAAAATAAAAATTATTTGATAAACGATAATTTGGTGTAATAATGTCAACCATATTTTGATCTGTAAATAGATTTGGCCTAACGGTACACCGTGCTGATGGTGTAGAATTCTGTAGATGAGTTGATTCATTCATATTTTCAAACGTAACGACATCTTCAGTACTAACATTTATAGATGTAGTATTATTGATTTGAACGCCGTGATTATTTATCCCAATAGTAGCGACATCATTCTTAGTCACTGAAGAATCTTTCATAGAATTCGTTCTTTCAAGACGATCACATTCACGAGGAGTTGTATCAGATAACGAAACACAATGTCCATCTATAATAAAAACGGAGATTTCACTGTGGAAGTTGAAGTTCTATCAAAACATTCAATTAAAAAAAGACAACTAATGTGTGAAAAATCTTTGTTTGTCATCCCAATTTACCCCTGAAAAATTTGCTGATTATATAAAAATTGTCAAGAGAGAATAATTTAAAATCATGACGTTTTATGCTACATGCCTGATTGGATAGTCAAAAAGATATCTGAAAATGTTCCTGTTATTTAGATTCATTTAAAGAATATATATATTAAGGGGGTCGAAGAAAAATAATTGATAGTCATTCATTCATATTCATTAATAAGTTAACAAAGGGCTGTATTCCTTTTTATCAAAACTATTTAATCAGAACTATGGATATTACCGATGTCTTCAGATATTTTTATTGAGCTATTATACTCTACGGTATATGTTTCCTTATCAAGATCAATGTTATCATCAATATCAGCTTGATAGTATTTGACGATAAATCTTTATTTACCTTTTATAGGGAAACAATAGTGTGTAGGAGAGATAAGAAATATCTGATTTATATTGATGGTTTTTCAATATATGTAGTTGATATGTATTCCATCAACAATTGAAGTAAGAGAAATGGTGATCAGAGGTAATGTATACAATATAAAAAATCCGTATGAACCAAAACCTTGTAAGATCATTTCGATTTGATCAAATTTAAACCCTGGTTTGGTTAAATCAGCCTCAAAGTTGTGTCATTTCACCAAGTAGATGGTTGAAATAATCTATTTTAAATTCTTGTTGAGATTAATATATTGAAACATAAACTCTGTATTTCTGTTCACTGATTTCGAAAAGAGTAGCTCAATATTGCCCTGTTAGGTAAAATAATCTATACCTATTCACATGTAACGATTGTGTTATCCCGTTCTGTCAATAAAATTTTCCCCTGTTTCGTTCATCCTGATTTTCCAATGATTTTTATTCACGCTGCTTTTCTATGTTCAAAGAAATAATCGCTAGTGGATTTTACACATATCTTTAGATAACCACAAGCTCTTTTTGTATGTATGGTTACTAGTATACTTAGTGAGCTAGACTTACAACTGTCTGTTGTTGGTTATTAGATCACGTAGAACTGCTTATGCAGTTTAGTTACGGTAAAAAAAAGGTTTTATATAAATCTGTCAGATTCCACTCCTTATGCTCAACGTTAGGTAACAGATGTATGTAAGTAAGTGTTAGATTTTAGATGATCTGCTAAGATCTATGATCCTTAGTACATTTGTTAATAAATCACAGCACAATAATATAAACTTTTGATAGATTCATACAACTACATGTAGAATCCAAATTAATCTGATTTAGTTTTGCATCACAATACTTTTTCTCATAATCTGATGTTCTTTTATCCACCAAGAACGATGAGGACTCGTTTTATCACAAATACTGTGAATTTGTAGGATTTAAGTTGAAAAACTGACAGAAATAACCCAATCGCTTGTGATGAACATAATTTTTCATTGCATACAAAGCTAACAGTCGGATAACTGAGAAGTGCGAACTCAATATATCATACACGAATATCAAATGAGATCGGATAAACTTGTATATCGGTAGAAAACAATACATTATTCAGAAAAAAATCATTTCCTTGCTACTTTTTTCGTCAGTTAAATAGTTAACTATTTTTACTTCAAGCTACTAGGCAACTAAATAATATATTTGGTCTAAATAGATTACTTCTTACTTGTTGAAGAAAAAGGTATTTTTCCAAATGAATTGGGATTGGAGAACAATTTGTTCATAATAAAATCATGCTCTATAGTGTTATTACTATTTGAAAAGTTGGATTCATTACCGTTCGATGTCAAACTATTATCATTAATAAACAGTGGATCAGATCGAAGATGAAAATGTGACAAATTTTTCCCCATCTTGTTTTCATTACTGATGTTTTTATCATTATTAGTAATATGATTCAACTCATTGAAGCAATCAGACTTGCAATTATATTCCCGTTCATAAATTTGATTTGAATTCATTCCATCATCATTAGTTGATAGAAGTCCTTCACCCATATTATTCATTGAAGGTATATTCTCTTTAGAATTATCATAGAACTCTTCTATTCCCATAGAATCAGCTAAACAGCAAGTTAAATTGTTAAAACCTATTTGATCATGTTGTCCTTCAAGTGTACCACGACATTCAATCTTCTTTTTACGTGCTCTAGCATTTTGAAACCATACCTGAAATCAATGAACAAATGCTAAAGTCGTAATTGATAAATAAAACCAAGATGACATTTCAAAACGTTTCATACATACAATTATTTATGACAAAGACATCAGTGTTTGTTGACTCATAATATTAAGTCACTGAAACAAAGAAAATCATATCACCTATCATCAATTTGAAATTCTAACCATAAAAAATATATATGCTACATTAAAGTTATCAGAGCCCCCAAATGCCCTGGTACGGCCGAGAGTGGGGAGAGTCCGCCCTCCCTCTCGAAATACTCTCACACGGCCACGCGTATATAGACTCTGCCAGGGAAGTCCTGCTCACTGCCTTCTCGTGGCGGGGGTGTTGTTTACGAAAATGAGAGGACGAAAAGCGAATGTCCGGCGCTTTAACCGGATTCCAAAACAATGGTGCACATGGGCTCCAGTATCCTGCGGGAACAAATGGCGAATGAACCAATTGTTGGTCACCGGCTTCCATGGGACTGCATCTCCTTACGATGCTCCACTGCCTTGTGAATCAGACCTTCAGGTCGAAGGCTCTGGGTGTGGCCCCCTAAGGAAACCACCTGCTTCGGTTTGGGCACCCGGGCAG